CCAGATTAGCGTGAAAATGAATAGCGGGCATCGCCCCTGAGCTCTCTCTCTCTCTCTCTCTCTCTCTCTCTCTCTCTCTCTCTCTCTCTCTCTCGCACACACACACACACACACACACACACACGCACAACCAGCCGCGTTCGAACGTCAACCCGCTTCAACCCGCTGCGTGGGAACGGAAAGAATAGGAGAAATGAGAATAAGAAATGGCCGTATCGGTTCCGGGGCCACAAGTCCCAGATACACCGTTGAGCCAGTTCAACGTTGAACTAACTCAACGTGTGTGACCCCACGCGACCTCTGAGATGCATCCGGAGCTGCACATCCAGTGGTTATTCTTAGGTGTGTAAAATACAAAGATTTTCGTGTTTGTTTTTTGGTTCAAGAAAGGTGCTGAAAAATCCCTCCGCCCGAATACAACGCCCCCTACCCTGCCCATCTTCCCTTGAACTAGCGTGTGTCATCATTTTTTTTATTTTATTTTTTTAATAAACGATGTTGTCATTTCATTACAAAACAATAGACTTGTGCAATCATGACCTTCTGTGGGAGGACACTCTGACAACCGTGGGAGGACACTTTGACAGCCGTGGGAGGACACTCTGAGGAAACTCTGACAGCCGTGGGAGGACACTGACATTCTGTGGGACACTCTGACAGCCGTGGGAGGACACTCTGACAGAGAATGTTCATGCTGCGTTTGGCTGTGCAGCCCCAAACTCGTTTCTGTGAATGCACCAAGCCAGTAGAACTGTCTCCGTTCATTTCATGTTAGTGAGTCCGTGTCTCGGACGTTGTGTAGTATGCGGAGCCTTTCACTGAGGATTGTTGTATTGTCCATTTTACTTTTTAGAAACTACGGACAAAGATTTCAGTAGCATTTGGTTATTCATTATGCCTTTAAGGGTCTCGTTAGACACTCCTAAAAGAATTCTAAAATTTTTAGGACGAGTCCTAAAGGATTTCTAGGATTTCGTGCGGCGTCTTTACACGCAATCCTAAAAATCATCTTTTAGGATTCGTCCTAAAAGGTCTCCCGCGGCCTGTTTTCATATGCATGTACCCAGCCGCGTCGCCAATGTCCATCCATTCCTGCCAATGTCCATTGTGGCTGTTGCCCGCGTCGACCCGCAGAAAACCTCCGATGGACCTGACGGACCGCTTCTGCACCAGCAACTCCGTGTCGACGGTGCCATGCGCGCGACGCAACGAGTCCGTGAAACGCGGGAATCCGAAATTTTTCAGTAGGTCGGGGGCTACTGGAAAATTTAGGACGATTTCGCCTGGGGAATCCTAAATCCTTTAGGACTCGTCCTAACGCCGTTTTCTCATTCTCGATCTCAAAATTGGATTTAGGATTGCGTGCAACCAAGACGCAATCCTAAAAACAGGCACTTTTAGGAGTGTCTAGCGAGACCCTAACTGTGTCACACCGTTGCGTTGAGCTAGTTCAACGGTGCATGTGGGACTTGGCCCCACTTGGTCCCTGCCACCTCGGCCACCCTCGCAGACCGCCAAAACCCCCACTGGAAAACCCCCCTGGCCTGTGGCGGGTTACAACGGTCCCGCCCTGTATAGCCATTCGGCCGCCCATGCGGGTGTCCGAACGGCGTCGATTGTACGGCGTACGGAGGTATGGAGGTTTACACGGCAGCAAAGAGTGTCGGAGCATCTTCGTTAAGATACCGCGGCCATAACTCCAAACAAACATTCTTGCCCAGAAAAGCTCGCAGCCACCCACTGACATGCCTTCATCAAAAGACTGCCCATGCTCTAAAGCAGAGCACAGATTTAGGCCATTTACGAATAAAAACAACCAACAAATCATCCAACCACAAAAAAATATAGCTCGCTAGTGTGAGCCGGACACTAGCCGCCCAACTCTGTCACGACACAGAGCTAGTAAGACCGAATGCGTGTTGTCAAAAGTCGAACAAACATTCCCGCCCGAAAAAGTGTGTAGCCGCCCGCAGACATGCCTTTGTCAACAGACAGCCTATCATGCCCATGCTCTGGAGCAGGGCAAAGAGGCCATGTATGAGGTCGTTAGTACGAGCGCGACCCTAGACGCTCAAATCTGCATGGAATGTGTGTTGTCAGAAAACCCCAAACTCTCTCACTCATTCCATCCATGAACCATCACAGACCATCCATAAAGCCAAAAAAGGTATACGTGGGCAATACAATAGTGTCCTCCCCCCCCCCCCTCCCCCCGAGGACCCCCCCGAGCCCCCCCCC